CCCACACACACACACACACACACACACACACACACACACACACACACACACACACACACACACACACACACACACACCGCATATACGTATACGCACTAACACATAGTGGATTAGAACCGGCCTAGCTATTCTACTTGTGAAAAAAAGAATAAAATATATCAACCATATTGAATTTGTCTGACAATACTTGTATCGTGTTTCTCGCTTTAAGATCTATATTTTTCATTATATGTATAAATTTATATAAGTACAAGCATATTAATTTTACATAGCGCTCTTTAATTATTCAATGTATGAGGTCTATCATTTCTCGATTATTTAATTACTTTGCACTGGAGCACTAAAGTTTCCGAGAATCTGATTAAAGCACGAGAAATTTGGCGGCAGGATAGCAGAGGGAATTATTGAATTTTTCGAAGATTAGGTCACTTTTAAATGTTCGCGTTCGAGATTGCACAATAGCAACTTCGTCCGTGAGTTTGCCCCTTCCCATCCATCGAGCTACCATCCACGATCGTTGAGTAGGACGAACGATGGTCATCATCAGCAACCCCCCTCTCTAAGTCCGTACCTCGAGTGATAACCAGCGGCAGATAAGATTCTTTCTTTCACCCGAGAAGAAAAGACCTCCTTCCCTTATCCATCCTCCCGTCTTGCTTTCTCGCTGTACCTCACAGTAAGTCCATACGTCATCCCGAGATATTCGTTTCCGGGTTCCACGCTATGGAAGAACGGAGAGAGGAAGAGCAATTAGACGGAAGATATTTGAACGACGGACATTGTCCAGGGTGGCAGAGAACTGTGGCAGACATACGAAACGATAGAGGCCATCGTATCGGATAAGGATGAACAAGGATATCGAGCGGGCGCGAGGGAGGGTAGAAAGAAGAAGATATGTAAGGGTTTTTTGTGTCTTTCTCTTCCGTTTCTGCTTCCCTCTAGCCTTCTGCCTCTCTCTCTCTCTCTCTCCCTCCCTCCTTTCCTCTTTCTCTCTCTCCCTCTCCCCCCCTCTCTCTCTCTCTCTCCCTCTCTCTCTTATCGCTCGTTCTAGAGCATTCCTTCCATTCTCTCAGCAGTCTTTTCTGAGGTAGGTCACGGATCTTTCATCGTCGTCAAGGTAGAGCACTGAATTCGCTTTCGGCAGATATAAATGTTCAACTGATTTCTTGAACTGTTATGTTTCGTGGTTTATAGTTAGAAAATATCTATATAGAAACGATTTTTTATATAGCGAAATTTCTAATTTTTAATTGTGATAATTTCTATTTCTATAGGTGAAATTATTCTATGTTACAAAATGTGACTTTCGTTAAAAAATTTAATAATTCTTTACGAATGTTTTTGAAACATAAATAAAGTTGATTTTGTCGATTTGGGAAGTTGAACTGAAATATATGATCTGTGCGAATGTAATGGGTAGATTAATGAAATGGCCACGATTCGAGCTTGATGAGTCCGACATGCTGCCATTGATCCGACATGTTCTCGCGTTTCGTGCCATAAATCACAAGCGAGGTATTGATGCATTCATGCGATTTCCTAATATTTCATAAAATCTCATTTGATGACTCGTATTACGCTGATACCAATCATTGCTCATGATTTTGAGTATATAAAATTTTCTTAAGTCTCGCTATAACCATTGTGTTATGCGCTCCAAATCCAATCACTTTATGCAAATGTATCCTCTGAATATACACGATGATTCTACTTGATTAGCCTTAGGCCAGATTGTTCGATTTTGTAATAAATTTATCCGGAGAGTCAAGCATATCATCAGCCATGCATAATACTACATATATGTATGGTAATCTAGCATAATGGCACTAATGGCTTCAGGGTGATTGGTTAAATAATAGATTTCAACAAGGACGACATAATTTTTCTTAACAATTGATTATAGAAATTATAATATCTTTTAAGATAAAAATTTGTGTATATTCATCTAGTGTAATGGCTTCAAGGGGGGTGATCGATTAAATAATAGAGACATCAATAAGGACGACATAATTTTTCCAGATAATTGATTACAGAAATTCTATCTTTCAAGATAAAAATTTGTATATATTTATTTATCATTACTACTTTATTTTATATAAAATATTTAAAAAATACAGTACGTTCAGTTTAGAAAAAACTGATTGAAAATTGATTAAAATAAAAATAATTATATATGTTTGTTCAATTTTGGAAATTTTTATTACATTATTATGTAAATAAATTGAACACTTGAATATTTCAATCATCAAAAATAAGTAAAAGTTATGCTGACGTACCATCCAGGAATATGTAATACCGGGAATATACGTAAATTAAAGTTTGACTTAATTTAAAATAACGTATGACAATAATATATTAAATTTTTGTCCTAGATTTTACTTTTTTATAAGGTAGTAAAAAGAAGAGAGCTTCGGTAATTAACGAACTTTGATTATATAATCAGTGAAATGGTTTCAAGGGTTTCATACTAAAGTTCCGTTTAATTCCGTTTAATTCTTCACGAGAATTGGCCTTAAGTGTTCTTTGTGGAGTCTGGTGATCGATAAATCATTTTGTAATTTAAACGGTGATAGAGTAAAACGACTTTTAATTACGACAATTCATTAAGATATAGAAAAATAATTCGTGAATTTTACATTCATTTATTAAAAGAAAAACTTGTGGCAGATGAGTAAAATTTTCATATATTTCTTATATAACAAAAACAAATGACAATATTTGAAGTTATTTTAAACATATTGTTTCAGACTGTTTGAAGTAACGTAGATTACTAAATAAACTAGGAAGAAAAGTCTGTGCATATTTTTATTTTAGAACTGTATCTAGAAGAAGATTGATTTTAAATTAAGAAGAACAATGCTAGTCAATTTTAACCAGACTATTTTCGTAAAATTATATTAGATTGAGAAAAATTTAATGAATAATCAATGCGAACTGTGAACTACGAATCCGCAAATATCATGCTAACTTTATAATAAAAAAAAAAATAATTAGAGCAGATTTATTATTCTCCATGACACCTTTACAAAAGCTATAACGAAACAAAATTAGCATATTTCGCTCGTGGTAATATAATTCTATGTAATCGATCTTATAAAATTTTTATATTGGTTATTTAATTGCCACAAAAAATTACAACTTACAATTAATAATTATATATGTTCATGCACAAGCACACTGTTTTTATAAAAATATAAGTTTATATTTAAGTCATATAAATTTAAAGTTAAATTTAATGAGTGTAACTTTCTTTAGTAAACGTTATCTAACATTCTTTTCTTTTAAAAACCTAGGCAGCAAGCACAAATCATTTCGACATCAAATATTAGACATATTCGTACTAATGACGTCAAATAACAAAAAAAATAACGGTTATTTCATCATTACTCGATTACCTTATCATTATATTTCGTCATTATGATGTAATATATATTTCGATTTTGAGCTGTAATGCTTCATTTTACATTGATATTAAAACTTAAAAGTAAGTTTTTTTTTAATTATTGTTTCCTGCTTGTTCATATTTATCGTTTTATTGAATGTATTTTAAAATCCGTCTTAAATGTAATAATTTACAAACAAAGTTCGTTCTAATGGAACTTTGTGTGCAATCGTGATTAACTGCTGCGTAACCAAGCATCATTGTAATAATATTGATTTAAGACCATTTATATTTTTCGATATTAGTTAACTAAATAATGACATATAAAACAAATACGATATTCCTGATGATATAACATAAAAATATCATTTTATGTCATATTTAATGATTATTAATTATCATTTTTCTTAATTAAATAATAATTATAATTAAATAAATATCCATACTATGTTCAAAATTGAAACATAAGATGTCATAAAAACATAATTAAAACATTTTTCAGACATCATTTACGACTTTAAGACATCTTCACACGTCTTATGTTCTGATTTTGGATGCATGTTGTCTAAATATTAATTGAATATTAATTAATATTTTGGCTCTTTCTAGACGTGCTCTCTTTAATAGGTAACAAAAAGATATGAGATGTTATTTTGCACATGCAAAAATTAATGAAAACTGTATTTTGTATTTATTTATGAAAAAAAAATTTTAACTGTACCTATGTTTCATCTTTTTGACAATAATTATTAAATTGTTTTGTCACAAGTACCTATAACTCCATTAACTTTTAAATAATTAGGCGGTTACAGCATCCCACGCATAATTATCTTAAAAATCTTGTTTTGGGAAAGGAAAATAAAAAGTATATTGTCCAGAAGTCTTAAAGTTCATTATTTTTACATTCTTCTATTTTCTATTTCATAAGAGTGTAACTAGTATAAATTCAGTTTTATACATACTATTAAAAATATGATAGTAAAAACAAAATTCTTTTAGGGTGTCCTGAGTACTCCATCTACTTAAAAATTAACGTTAAATATTCATAGATAATCACAAAGTATTCCGTACGATCACAAAAATTAAACACTGCTAGATGACTGCAGTGAATTTTTCTCAAATATCTTGTTGGTCATATATATATATATATATATATATATATATACAGGATGTTAGTTAAGTATGTTGCCATACTCAACAGAGCGATTTTTTGGTTTATTTCAAGTAAAAAAGTCCATATAAACATGTGTTCTAAATTCGGCTTAGTTTCCGAAATAAAAATATTAAACGTATAGTATAAATAATCTGTTTATTTGAAAGAAATACAGCTTGAAATAGTCAAAAACAGAAAAACAAAAAACAGGCTTCAATTCTTCTGATGAAATAAAACAATTAGATGAATTGTTGAAAATGTCCACTTTGCGCCTTGATACTTCCATCGAGCCTTCTTTTCAAAGATTGACGTACACGCTCAAAGATTAGAACTGAAATCTATTTTTGATTTAATAATTTTGACTTTGTCACTTTGTTTACGGTTGTGCGAATGGTAACTCACGTGAAGCAAGGCATATTTATGCAAGAAGATATCTCCAACGCAATTTACCGTTTCGTCAAACATTTGCGAACATTCACCTGTATTTCGGAAATTAAGCCGTTTAGGACACATGTTTATATGGACTTTTTTACTTGAAATAAATCAAAGAATCGTTGATACTCTGTTGAATATGGCAACATACTTAACTAACACCCTGTATATCATCATTTATCATATGATATTATAATGTCACTTATTTGTGACATTAGATTGTCATTTTTATGTTTTAAAAACTTTCAATCAATTAGTGATTTTAATACTGATCAATGAATGATCAAAATCTATGTTCAAATTACGTATATCTGTTATCTGGAGTAATTTCTTCAATAATATCGATTTAAGTACCAATGGGCGGGCTTGAAAATATTTATATATTGCGAACATATTTTAATAAAAATATTATAAAATACACATATTTACCTGATAAAAGCATAACCTTTGTCCTTAAATACTCGAATTTCTTGGATGGATCCGAAGGGTGAGAAAGTTTTCTGCATAAGTTCTTCTGTTAAACCATTGGTCAAACCGCCGCAGTATACCGTGCAGTTGGTCGGACTACTTTGATTGTAAACTTCATCGAACGTCAACGGCTTTGCATTCGCTGTGAGACAAAAAAATTGACAAACTTTAAACTTTATTTAATTGTATAACCTGTTGAGAGGTCTAAGAAAACTGGTTCAAGCGTTAATAATCGCAGCTACGGCGAACTCCTGAATATTAATTGTTCGTCTGTACGTGTCTTTCTTGTGATTCAGAACATATATTTATATACATAGAGTATTAAATATATGAAATTCTTACATATTGCTATGTAATATAAAAAAATAGTTTAAAAACAGTTTACTGCGAAAGCTCAATTATGGCTTGAGCTAACGAGTTTTATACTGTGAATTTTTAGATTACGTTTGCTACAAGTTGTTGATGTTGATTCTGTTTACACCAGGAGATTAATTACTCTTAGTAAATATAAAATTCAAAATTGTGTAGAGAAGAGTTTAATAAGTTTAATTTAGATATACATATACAACGTCCACTATATTAGTCGACTAAGCTATTTTAATAAGCTATTTTAAAAGCTGTTTTAATCGACGTGAATGTAACAATTTTCCTCAATTGCGCTTAATTCAAAACTGTATCAATTACATATTAAATCAAAATTCTGAAAATGGGATGCTGTATTCATAGATATTACTATGCGTTAAATATTAGTCACAATGTTGTAAAATTACAATAAAATATTCCGTGATCAAGGAAATGTTTCGGGAAATATTAGCTGTACCTTATTGAGGCATTTATTTTGTTATCAATCAGTGGCACACAGTCACGCTGCTGAACGCATAACTCCTGCTCGTTTGCAGTCATGATTGGCGTATAAAGAACGAGCAGTATTGAAGAGTTACGCAGGTATTTATCAAAAAACGATCAGCGCATGATGTAATGATTATTCCGTTTGCGACATCGAACGACAATCGGATACGATCCCGATAGCAATATAAGAAACTACACGCACGTGGGACCTTAGGAAAGCCATTATTGAAAGTATCTACTTCCCCCAACGCGATAGATCTCTCATGTATCCTTTACTTCTTCTCTCACTCCCCTTTCTTCCCCGCGGTATTACTTTTACTGATACTACGAAAGAGGTCAACCGGGTTTCACGGTGTGGTCGGAGCGGGACGCGAGAGCAGCTCGAGATATCGAACGCCAATGCCAAAGAGCTTGAATCCCGTCAGCTAAGTTTACGATCGTACGGGGGCTTAGCCTATACTGCAGAAGCAGGTTACGGTGTAAACGCGACCGGTAAACCACGGCCTGTAATTGCCTCGTTCGGGGATGGAAGGTTCTCAGAACGGCAGAACGTCCCGTTAAGAACTTACCGAGGGACGTTCTCTTCTTTTCTCAAAGCTCGGCATTATCTCTTTATTGCCTGGTGAACGTTATTCTCAGTATTCCCGGAATGTCGGCGCAGCTTGCCCGTCTCCATCGCCGCCACCGCCTATGGTCGGCTTTAAAAAATTTTGTTTGTTCTAGAATGCTTATTTCGCAAAAAGAGAGATTGAAATATCTGCACTTCTGCCGCTTGCGAAGCTGTGAACTTTTTACGGTTCTACCTTCTTTGATCGCCGGTCGTTTAGCAAGTTAATAGCTGAGAATTATTATAGGACAAAATGTAACCAATCAATGCGTTATCGCGACACGGTAGTTAATTAGTGTGATATCATTTTTTACGAGTCATATTGCAAAATCTGTTCATTACAAAAAAAATATTTTCAGAATAAATCAAAAATTTCCCCAAGCATTTCTAATATATAATTATCAAATATAATAAACACTTAATTTTTTTTTATCAAAAGAAATTATATTACTAAATTTGTGAGAAAATCTTGTAATTTATGTTGTTTTATAATTATAAAACAGTACAATAAATATACAATAAATGTACGGACGTTACATCATTGAGCTTAAACATTTATGTTACAGACATAGATTGTATACTATTTTTGCATAACTTCATTATTAGTATTTATAATAGTTAAATTAAGAATTATATACATCATATTGTGAATGTGTAGGTGTAAATAATTATTTTATAAGTCTTTAAATTAGCAAGCAATTTTACGTCAAGATGCAGATAAGTCATATCATCATACAAAAAAGATATGTCTATCTGTACGTCTAACTGCTGTTTATGATCCTACTCAGAACATGCAAAATTTTTCGTAATATTACGATTAAATAAATTTTTCAATTACAGAAAATTCGATCCCTTAAAAAATGTTAATTATCATATTTATTGCCAGATTCCTGAAAATATAATTTTAATTTTGAGATAAGTGAATTGAAGTACGTGAATAATAATTTTGATTCTGAGATAAGTGAATTGAAGCATGTGAATAAATAATTCCAACAAAAGCTCAGAACAAAAGCTATTTTTGAACATATAAATATATATAATAATAATCGTTTCATAAACAATTTATTCTAGCACAGAATGATTATAACGCATATATACGACACGGTATTTTAAAATGATGCTGGATCTATACTTCATATCCTCTTTTTAGAACTGTAATAAATTGCCTTCAGCAGAATATTAATTTTATATTGGATTTTAAGCGACACGAGAAGCTGTCACTGCTTTTCTGTCAATACTTGTCCGCGCTGTGGACGTAGTTTTCGAGATTTAAGAGAGAGCGAGAGGAGGAATCGAGATTCAAGATATCGGGGATCGATTGGAAGAATTGCTCCCAACGTTTTGAAGCGGTTATATCAAGAATATCTGGTTGAAAAATTGAAGAGCTATTGTAGATCTATGGCGATGGTCTTCGTACGGAGCGGATTCCATGAAAGAGAAAAAAAAAGATTTCAAAGAAAACTTGTGGAGATGAAGTTGATTCGGACATGGAATGATACTGGATGAAAGAACAACTATACAATTGTATTTTTATCGAAATTTATCACGTTGAGTTTTTGATTGATTCTGATATAGTAATACATAATATACAGTAATATATTCAAATGAGAATCAGAATGAACAATATCATTTATAATGTATAAAATCGTTATATGTCGATTTGTATTTACATCATTAGGTATATACAGGGTCCGCCAAAAGTCCTGGACCGGCTGAATATTTCAGAAAATATTTTCTTGAGAAAAATTCATTTTTTGTAAAAATGAATTCTTAGTGCAAAAATGAAAATAAAAGGTACAACCTCCAATAACTTTGATTTTGACGAATGTTACCCAGGACATGATCCTAAACAACATTGAAGAGGTTTTAGCCATCGATCGGACACCTTGCGTAATGCTAATACCGGCGGTACTGTAACTTTCAAGCCTTATAACTCGAAAAGTACTTAATGAAAAATAACTTTATAGTGTTTTAGAAAGCTCTTGACACCAGCTATTAAATTCTGGCATCAAAAATAGGATATTCCATTTAAAAAAATTAATTTAACCTTGACCTGACCTTGGTGGCGCCACTCAAAGTCAAGCGGATGTGATCAGTGAATAGATCTTTTTAAATCCTACAACTTTTGTCTGAAACATTTTTCTCGAAAATGCATATTTTCTGAAATATTCAGCCGGCCCGGGACTTTTGGTGGACCTTGTATAAGTAGCTATATCAGTCCGATGTAAGCTCCAACCAAAATCAGTGGTCACAAATGTATTATAGGAAATGTAATGTAATTTTTCATGTATTCGTATATGTATTAATGATAACTTTTATATTACTTAAAATTGTATTATATATAAAATAAAATTAAAAGAATGGAAGTAATAAAGACAAGACGAGATACTTCGATTTAGCTCAAAATTTTTTGACAAACAAATAATTGACAAAATTTAATATTTTATTCTATTTTTTAAGTAATAAAATAGATAAATTTTAAAATTCTAATGCAGAAATGCCACAGAAATAAAAAGAAATGATTCTTAGATATAATTGGACTTGCTCTTTCGAACACTGGCTTTATTTCCCCTCTGCGAATTCTTAGTACTTTAATCGAAATATTCCTCTCTCTCTCTCTCCCCCTCTCTCTCTCTCTCTTCGAGATTGGGCTACTATACCGATTCAAACTGATTTGATTCCATTGAGTGTGCGATATTCCAATTTAACCCCTCAGGCATGATTTTCTCAACGTTTCCATTTTAAGTGGTCGACTCATGCGTCGTATGCGCTAAGGTCTTAATACGTACCCAACCCTAACGTGATTGCACGACTGGCACGATCCTGAAAACGCTATTTACCGACGTATTATAGTTACAGTCACACACCGTCGATATGTTTAAAGTTCGACGTTTTCGAGAGCTGCGCTTGCAGAAATTACGTGTCAGTTTACGCGGCAATAAAAGTAAGTAACTACTTTCGAGTATTGAGCACGCGAGCGTAGTAGCAACGATATTACAGGGACTAAAAATTTTCTCTGCAGAAATATCCTATAAATTTTCATCGATTAATAATCCATATTACAATATTGCGGATCAAACAAGAATTTGGTGTCGACAAGAAAATATTCAAATTCGCTGGTTCTGTCAGGTCACTTTTGCTCTTTGCAAATGATTCGTGATTTATGATCCCTCGGACGTGCCTGGTCGAAGATCCGCCATTACGGAAACAGCCTGTAGTTCTAGATTCGGCTCATTAGGCAGCTGATTACGTGGACGTGCCTAAATCGAAGTTCTATACGTCAGGTCAATGGCGGCTCCGGCGTATTCCCGTGAAACTTTATTCTTATCTAGCGGGAACCACTTGGCGATCGAATAACTAGATTTATCACGCGAATCTAGTAACTTTTTACTTCACTGAATTTCCGATAACTCGCCGCTCCCGAGAGTCGGGAGATGAAAGATCAACAAGAAATTCGGGGGTAAACTCGAAATTTTCTACCGACCGCGTCGGAGTCCGGACGCGCTAGTTCTGACCTTAAGTAAAAAAAAGGTGCAGAACACTGAAGTGAGAAAAGAAAAAAAGAAAGGACGACGGCTTTAGACCTCTGCAATATCTCCTTGCTCTTTCCTTCTCCCGAAAGGGAAGTTTCCACTTTTCTCCGTTTTATGGCGGATGGAATCTCCAGTGGTCGACGATAGAACTCG